TAATTCTTGTGTGACGGCTCAACAAAATCCGATTGCCAGAATTAGCAAGAAAAAATTCGCCTTTGGCATTTTAGACGTTGAGGGCTCTTTCGACAATTCCACCTTCGATACAGATTATGTGCTTGTAAATTGGGTTCGTTCAATGCTCGCGTATAGGTTTTTTTAGGATTCAGGTGTGGAGTTCATAAGGGCTGTCCTCAGTGCGGTGTGCTTTCTCCCATGCTATGATGCGTGGCAATTGATTCCCTGCTAGTCAAACTTAACGCCTCTAACACCTACGCCCAGGTCTATGCATATGACAGGCCCTTCTATGTTAATTGTCCGCAGGAAAGAGCAAATGACACTGAATACGATTTAGACTTGGTACAGTGAAAATTGGCTAACTGCTAACCCAACCAAAAGTAGTGTTGTGCGCTTCACTAGAAGGCGAAGGCTGGCCGGCCTTCTTCGCCCTGCCCTTTAAGGAGTCACTTTTCAAATTTCTTCCGAAGTAAATTATTTAGGTGCAATATTAGATAGTAAACTTTAATGGAAGTCACACGTTGAGCAAAAGACCTCCCAAGCCGTTAAATGAATATCATATGGGCTTAAAAATATGCAACCCGAAAGCGGAAGTGGTTCTATATAAAATCGTAAGCAATATGGTTATGTTATATTTCCTTGGAGGCGTTGTAAATTTTTAGGAACAAACATTTTTCATTTATTGATTTTTAGCGATCGAAATTTAGCGTGGCGATTTCTTGAATCCTACTGCTGGCAATGTAAACAGGTCTTTGATAAAACGTGGGGTCCTGTGGATTTATACCCCTATTATAAGACCTATAATCAGCTATGCATCTGTGATGTGGTGTAGCATACTCTCAATAATTAGCATGGGAAATCCGCAAACTTCGAAAAGATGTGTGTCAAAGTCAAACGTAAATTAGCTTGGAATTGAAAAAATACATGTTTTTGGAGTTAGCAGATTTTATATGTAAAAAAAGTAAGTGCGCCTGGGCCACACTGGAGAAGTGAAACTTACGTTACATATCCGTTTTTTCTCATAGCCAATATACATACATACATATGTATACACAAAATAGATAACAGTTTCGATAACTAAATCGATCGTTAAAAATATCGATTACAAAATCGACAACTAATTAGATAAAAATATCTAACAAAATCCATAAAAATACCGATAAGTTCCGAAGATGTCAATAGCAAAATCGGTAGCAATATCGACAAAAATTTCGATAACAAAGCCGATAAAAATATCGATTGTTACATCGATAAGTCCCGAGAATCTCTAAAATCCCAAAATAGTCCAGTCTCCATCGATATCCTTTTCTCTATAATTACCTTTATTTTAATCTATCTTCCTCTATCTTCATCTTTACTTTTATCGGTATCCTCATTCTCATCTTTTTCTTTGTATTTATCTTCGATTTTGCTTTTGTGTTTATCATTTTCTTCATCAACATATTCTCCTTCCCCTTTGCCCTTATATAAATAAAGTGTTTAAATTTAATTTGTTTTGGAACGAATTTCCGTCATCCCTTGTCAAGTTTGGTTTGCAGACAAACCGGTTTCGGCATTGTGCCATCTTCAGTGTCATTTTTCGTTCTGTTTAAATTTACTTTGATCTTCATTTTTGCCTTTATCCTTACGCATCTTTGTTTTTGTTTTTATTTTTAACTTTGCCTTTATCCTTTTCTTTATCTATGTACGTACTCACCTTTACTTTCATTCTTGTATTGGTCTTTTTCTAAGTGTTATTCTTTAACCTTTTATTAGTAAGAGATTGTTAAATTAATACCATGTGCATACACTCAAGAAGCACTTGTTTCAACCCCAACCATTTCCGTTTGCAATTTCCGTTGAATTTGCTAATTTACTCCCAACCAACCAACCACCGTTAAAGAAGTTTCACTTCAAAAAAATTATTTGCTTTCTCCACCAAATAGCGATATTTTCCCCTTTCCCCTTTCCGTCAGTATCAAAAAGTTATTTTGACAGAAATGTGGAGTTAGGAGCTTTTACCGCGGAGACGACAATATATACTATATGTATGTATGTAAGCATAAAAATTACATTACGTTTACTTTTGTGACTTACTCTGGTGGACTTCCTCTTAAATTAAATGATGTAAATAGTACTTCGACTCGTTGTCCGGGTCCTGCTAGGAAGGTGTACAAGCACTGACGCGAATGATTTTTGTGATTGTGCAGCAACGGAGCGGAGAATGTGCCATTCTGTGGGCCACCAATGCGCGAAACGAATGTCTGGTCACATTCTGTGGACAAGAAAATGGAGAAAAAAAAGATGAATACAAATTTAAAATGGGACGCAATAAGTAAAGAAAGAAGAATTAAAATAGTAGTAATCGAATGAGAAAATTTATGTAGTATATTGCTTTTTAATGAAGATTAAACCGCAGGCAACACGTATGTATGTATGTAAGTAGATGCAGGTATGCATATATATGTACTTATACTTAAAAGTGTTGCTGTGTAAGTATACAAGTTAACAGCTACTCCTGTATGCACATCTAGTCAATTACATATTTACTTATTTTGTACAGTCTGGAACACAACAATCAACACTCAGCTTCCGAAGGGGTTACATAAATTGTGTTGGCGTTGCAAGGAACGTTAACTAAGAGTACCACGGAGCCTCATATCGTTACTATTGAAAAATATTAGGTTCCCCCCATAGCTGGGGTTCAGTATGGTTTGACTCATAAATGTGCTCGTGTTTATTTATGGTAGTGTCAATGTTAAAAGTAGTTGGCTTGCGGCGTTTTATCCTTTATTTATCTTTTCATTTTCATTCGTTATTGAACTGACAAAAGATTGCTCGAAATTGAAATCGTAAATCTGTATGTATGTACATTAGAGCGTACTAGAAAAATATGTTCGCCGTACACCCCAGAGTCTAAAGTAATTTTGCAAGGAAATTTGGAATATTTTGTTTTGCCCAAAGTAGGGTTAGGGCATTCGGCATTCACAGTTGGGTCTTAAAATATGATGCAAGGATGTTCTGTTTCCGAGAAGAATTTTTTTTACCAAAATTTATTGACCACAAATATTCCATTCTAGCACAAACCCATAGGTAAATTAAAGCTCTCCAAAAATCATTATTTGAAATCTTGCCAAGGAGGTATTTTGAAGAACAAACATTTTTTTTTTCGAAATTACCTTACAAAACTACTTCAGACTCAGTGTACCTACGGGAAAAATTTTGTTTGCTTGTAAGTTGATGTGGTCTAATGTTTGTACATATGTACTTAATGTATGTGGTCCAATTTTTCTATGGGAAAAAATATTCATCCAAGAAAACAGGGCACCCCTCAGTTTTTTTCCTTTTAATATTTGTAATATCTATACCAACTTTCAGTTTTCTACTGCAACTAATACAGGGTGCTCAATGACCTTGAAATGCGCTACTAGATCGCTGTGAAACTGGCAAAAATATTGGTGATTTTTTAAAAAGGCACTGTTGCCATGACAACTGAAGTTTGTGATATTTTTTTATATAATTTAAATTTCAAGTGTTCTTAGGTTACTTGACCAATTGTTTCATTAATATATCTACACAATACTTCTAGAGTAAAATATGAGCATCATGAGCATCCACCTCTTTCGACAATACGAAACATTTTCGAAGGTGCCCTAAACCCAATCTTGGAAAATTATTTTTTTGGACCACTCTAATGTACATATGTACATACATATGTGCAATATATCCGGTATTACGAGCACTTTATGCACATGCACTATTGAACTGTAAACAATGTAAAACTAAAATACATTCATTCACACACATATGTACATATACATACATATGTATAAATATGTATATAAGTAAAGAAACAACACTATGAATGCACTGAAATTCATTGTCAATTTATTACAGTGCTTTTACAATTGGCATTCCAATGAAATGCAAAACCAAAAGCCAAAACTAGAAAAACCATTTAGCAATTGAACTGAAAAGGAGGAACACAACCTACTTGGCGTCTTTGTTGGTCTCGGCAGAGTTTCCAAGTAAGCCACGACGGGTATCCAAGGATGTGCCGCTGGATTAGGGCCGCCGCGTGCTTTTAATTCAGAAGCAGCCTCGAAATTGTACGCCACTGCCGAGATAGACAAAAAGCAAATATGTACAAACATACATACATACGTACATTAATACAAGACAAAAATACATATGTATGTGGCTAGCTAGCATGTATGTATTTTACTATAATATTGATAAATAGATAAATCTTGCTAGCAGAAGTAAATTTAGAAATTGAAAATTCCAGGATTTGTTAGTTACTAACTTTAATTGTGTATGTATGTTTGTATGTGGGGCAAAATTCGTCAAGTGTACCAGGAAAAACATTTTATGGAAGCATTTTGTTCAAACTCCACTACGTTGTTGCTATGGTTACTGGTAATCAATGTGTGAAAGAATTTTTTTTTCTACCGTGGTTTTTTCTCGAGTTATACAAGTTTGACATGCCAATTTCAACCCTTTTTCTTCACACTTATGATAGAGAATTAAAAATTGCTGACCTATTAGAATTTTTTCCGTGCTTTTTGGTGGAAACTATATTTTTTTGGATTTTTTTTTGCAAAAATTTGTATTGAAATTTTTTACAAAGTTTTTGAAAATGGCCTATTTCGATAGCTTATTTTCTAAGCTTTCCAACGATATATAATTTGTATTGGCCGTGGCAAAAGGACTACAAGTTTTTCATCACAGAACGCACTCGGGTCCGCCTTGCATTGTTGTCGGAAATAACACAAGTTTATAGAAATGAAAAAATTGTCCGACCAGGACATTTTTAAATGCATTTTAACGTAAAATTTCCCGCTGAATCCGAATACGAAATTAATATGTAAGAGAGTATAACGGTTTTTGAGATATGTATAGCCGAATTTGGGGTTTTTGAGATCTGAAAAAAGTGCACTCACTTTATTACAATTTTCTTTAGAAAAAACAAAAACGGTGCATTGTTTAAAAAATTCATTTTTTTGTTGCAAATTCTTTGCAAAGAAAAACATCAAAAAAATTATAGTTTCCACCAAAAAGCCTACTTAATATTTGTTGTCATAATTTTTAAGTATTTTGTAGGGCATTTCGCAGAAAATGCTTGGTTCCCACGGATTTCCAATAATTCAAAAATTTTAGATCTTTTTCTGCCAAGTATATCTGTTGCTGCAACCGCATTCGAAGGTAACAGAGAAGGGTATCAAATAATAAACAACTATTTTAAATAACTACAACGACGGGTCTTTCATCTGGATGGGTTGTTTTTGTAGGAAACTTATTATTTTTCGGGTTTTCGGTAGGACATAATAAAAAATTAAAAACAAACCAGCCTTGAAATCTGATGCAATTGGTTTTATAATTAAAAGTGAGCCGACCTATTTCTCAGTGAAACGGCTAATGAGACAATGGACTTTGGCTTTCTTTTTCAACAAAATAGATATTATGGCAATGAACGCTTAATGTATTTAGAAGGAAGTCGAGGGTTACAGGAATAGTTTTGCCTTTTCCAAGTTGGAAAAGAAAGCACAGCCAACGAGAACGAGTAGAGGTATCTCCTATAACACGGTGCGACAAGAAAAAAAATCGAAACAAACAAGTATAGTCTAGTTAACCTCGTGGCTCACTTGTCGCAAGTGTATGTATTGCAGTGGCGGATACAGGGGAGGGGCGAAGGGGGCGATGATCTTCAATCATTATCCCTTTTTCAGGCTTGCACAAGATTATTTATAGAATAAGAAAGCATGTAAATCTCTTAAATTAAAAATTATAACAATGGGTATGCAAATACTATGAACTTATAGACCTTGTGATAATTTTACGGCATTTAAATTCTGACAAGATTTGAACATTTGTTTTAAAAAATCAAAAAAACTTTTGTAAAAATTTCGAACCATGTAATTCGATTTTTAAGAAATATTTTGAGTAAGCCGTTTTTAGCCCATTCAATTTTACTGCAAGTTTAAAGTAAATGATATTTGGCATTTTTTTTTTTGTTGACCATGTTAACTATTTTATTCCATACAAAACATTTTCGACGATTTTTTTTTTGTAATATGGAGCCCGAGCTGGCTGCTTTAAACTAAGATTAGCCAATCAATTATCAGTCAGCTGTTCATTTTAAATTCAGATTACGTAACCTTAGGTTAAAATGCCACTGAAACTGGCCCTTAGATATCGAAATTGACACTGAACGGATAATACAAAGATTCCAAAAAGGAAAGCGCAAAATTGAGTTTGCAATTTAAATTATTATAATCAAAATTCCGAATAAGTTGTTAAGTTACTTTATTACATTCCTCATTTGACAAACATTATAAGTAAAAAATAAGTATTTATGTAATATACACAAATATACATATACTGCTTTAATAAACCCAGAGCATAACTTTTTGTCTTGTGTTTTTTTTACAAAATAGTATAATTGTTTTATTACATGGGACTCTGTAAATGGACCTTGCGCCAAATTCACAACATGAAACTTACTTAAAGTAAAATTATATCACAAAACATTTTACCTCGGACTTCATAAATATTACTAGAAGCTCTATTTGCGTGAAAAATAAATGAGGGTTCTTCAATCAGGTTGGATGCTTGTAAGTCATATAGCTTCAATTGGTCACTCCGCTTTATCCATCAAGTTAGATGCCTGTAATTCAACGTTGTTCGACAAGTCGATCCCAATCGCACCTCCCCAAATAAAATCGTGTATCCGCCACTGAATGTATTGCTTTATTTTTTTGAGTACATGCGATTATTTTTGTTATGGTAATAATCCCAGTCATCTATTCATTACTACTATTTATAGTTAATTACAAATTACTGGGTTATGAAATATAATAAAAACAATCAACTAATCGTTATTGAAACTTATTGATAAAAACCGAACTGGCAGGCTTAAAATTTTTTTTTTATTTAAAATTTTGATTGAAGATCTTTAAAAAATCTACTTTTCTTCAGGGACTTGCGAAGCTATTCGTGCATCGTTGCATATGTATGTACTAAACATCTGCGCAATTCCATTTGAACGACCTAACAAGACATCCGTTCGCAGGACAAATACATTCCCTCCTTTACTAACATCGCTCCAGTCAAGTGAGAGTAAGCATAAAGTTATGCTTCTTTATGCTTACTCAAGCATAAGTAAAGCGTAAGTAAACTATCGATCAATAGCAAGATGCGTAGAGTATTTACCTTGCCTTAAGTAACTATATATACAATTGTAGTATCTGAATAAAACTAAGCACAGGAATGTAG